GGTACATGCTACTACAGGGAGGACACTCAAAAACATTATGCTAAGTGGGAAAAAGAAAAGCCAGATGCAAAAAACACAATAGGTATATTGTGTGACCCCACTGCTGTGAAATGGTCAGGAAAAACAACTTCATAGAGACAATAAGTAGCTTAGTGGTGGCCTGGGGTTTAAGCGCAGGAACTGGCTGCACCTGGGCTTTAGGGGCCTTTTCTTAGGGGATGCAAATGCCCTCACATTGGATTGTGAGGATAGCAGCACAACATTGTAAAGTGACTAAAAATCATTTCATTGCTCACTTAAAATGAGTGAACTTGTTATGAAATGATATCTCACTGACGCTTGTTTTAAAAAGCTAGTTGACCATATGGTTCAACAATCCTGCTCCCTGGTATTTACCCAGAAGGGCTGACAACTTGAGGTTCACACAAAAGCCTGCATTTGAATGTTTATAGGTCTTTATTCGCACAACTGGCTCAACTTGCAAGCAGCCAACGTGTTCTTCAGTAGGTGAATGGATACGCTGTAGTACATCTGTACAATGGTATATTAGCACTAAAAAGAAATGAGATAGCAAGGCAGAAAAGACATGGAGACACCTCAAATGCATATTACTAAGTGATAGAAGTAAATCTGAAAAGGCTACATATTTTTTATTTATTTATTTTTATTGATTATGCCATTACAGTTGTTCTATTCCCCCCTTCATTCCCCTCCACCCTACTCCCCCGTCCCCACCATTACCCACCCTTTAGTTTATGACCACGTGTCTCAAGCTCTTTAGATTCTGTATTTCCCATACTATTCTTGCCCCCCCATCTATTTTCTATCTACTGTCTTATGCTACTTATTTTCTGTACCTTCTCCCCCCTTCTCCTCCTCCCACTCCCCTGTTGCTAACCCTCCTTGAGATCTTCATTTCTATGTTTCCACTCCTGATCTAGCTGTTCTTTTAGTTTGCTTTCGTTTTAGGTGTGGTTGTTAATAACTGTGAGCTTGTTGTTCTTTCACTGTTCATGTTTCTTTAACTTCTTTTTCTTAGATAAGTCCCTTTAACATTTCATATAATAAGGGCTTGGTGATGATGAACTCCTTGAATTTGACCTTATCTGAGAAGCACTTTATCTGTCCTTCCATTCTAAATGAAAGTTTTGCTGGATAGAGCAATCTTGGTTGAAGGCTACATATTTTTTATATGATTCCACCTATATGACATTCCAGAAAAGGTAAAACTGTGGAGATAATACAAAGATCAGTAGTTGCCAGGGGTTAAAGGGTAGATGGGGATGAATAGGCAGAGCACACAGGTGTTTTAGGGCAGTGAAACTATTCTGTATGCTATTATAAAAGTGGGTGCATGTTATTGTATATTTGGCAAAATTTGTAGAATGTACAACACCAAGAGTGAGTCCTAATGTCATCGGTGGACTTTGGGTGTGATGACAATGTGTCAGTGTAGGTTCATCAGCTCCAACAAATGTGCCACCGTAGTGAGCGTTGATCATGGGGGTGGTTATGTGTGGGAGGGGGTTCAGGAATACGTGGGAACTTGTCTACATTTTCAATCCAATTTTGCCATGAACCTAAAACTGCTCTGAAAATAAACTCTTTTAAAAAAGAAATGAAATATCAAGCCCTGAGAAGACACAGATGAACCTCAAATGCCTATCGCTAGATGAAACAAGGGAATCTGCAAAAGCAATACATAGTGTATGACTTCAAGTACATGAAATTCTGAAAAAGCAAAACCGTGGAGACAGTAAAAAGATCAGTGGTTGCCAGGAGTCAGGGGGGAGGAGGGATAAATAGTGAGACCATGGAGGATTTTTAAATCAGTGAAACTATTCTGTATTGCTGTTCTAATGGTGAATTCATTTGTTAGAGCTCAGCACATACAACACTAGGAGTGAACCCTAATGTAGACTTTGGATTATAACAATGTGTCAATTTGGTTTCATCAGTTGTAACAAATATGCAGCTCTGGTGATATGGGCTGTTGAGATAGAGGGGGAGTCTGTAAGTATGTGTGTGGGGGGACAGGAAGCATGTGGGAATTCTCTGTGTTTTCTGCTCAGTTTTGCTGTGAACCTAAAACTTATCTGAAAACCAGTCCATTAAAATGAACTGTCTAAACAAAAATAATCACAATGTACCGCAAGATAAAAGTAAAATGCCTAACAATAGAACAAAGACCAGAAAGACAGGAATGGAAGTATATTAACATAAGATTATGCAACATTTTTTTTATTGATTGATTTTTTTTTAAAGAGAGGGAGATATGGAGAGAGATATTGATTCCTGGCTGGTGTGGCTCAGTGGACTGAGCTCTGGCCTGTGAACCGAAAGGTCAGTGGTTCAATTCCCAGTCTGGGCACATGCCTGGGTGCCCAGACTGGGCCAGGTCCCCAGCTGGGGGCATATGAGAAGCAACCATATGTTGATGTTTCTCTCCCTCTCATTCTCCCTCCTTTCCCCTCTCTCTAAAAGCAAATAAATAAAAATTTAAAATATATATATATATATAGAGAGAGAGAGAGACATCAATTTGTTGTATCACTCATTTATGTACTCATTGGTTTTCTGTATGTGACCCAACTGGCAATTGGAAACCCTGGGATGGGATGATGCTTTAACCAACTGAGCTGCTCAGTCCGGGCAACATAAGGTTCTTATATTCTTCATGAAGTGGTATGATGACACTTGAAGGTAGACTGAGAGAAGTTATGGTTGCACAAAATAAACCTTGAAGCAACCGCTAAAACAACAAAAGAAGGAGGGCTAGCTAGTAAGTCAACAAAGGAGATACAAATAATATCGATTAATCCAAAAGAAAGCCGAAAAAGGCCACAAACAAGGGATGGGACAAATAGAAAACCAATAGCAAGGTGACAGACTAAAACCTAACCGTATCGTGTTAAATATAGATGGTCTAAACACTGCAGTTACAGGGTAGGGATGGTCAGATTGGGAAAAAAGGCAAGACCCAACTTCGTGCTGCCCACGAGAAAGGCTCTTTACACAAAGACACAACTAGTCTAAAACTATGTTTTTAAAAAGATGTATCATGATAACACTAGTCTTTTAAGGTGGATGGGCTGTATCAATATCAGAGTAGATTTCAGAGCAAAGATAACACTAGTAAATAAAATGTAATATAATGATAAAAAGTCAGTTAATGAGGAGAACATGTCAATTCTAAATGTTTGTGCACCTAATATAACAGCTTCAGCATACATGAATGAAAGCTGAAAAACTACAAGGAGAAGTAGACAAATCCACAAAGTTTGTCAGAGATTTCGATACCTTTCCCTCAATAACTAATGAAATGAGTAGGCATAAAATTGGCAAGGATATAGAAGTGAACATCACTACCAGTCAAATGACCTGATTTGCATTTGTAGAATATTCCACCCCAAAATAGCAAAATGCACATTCTTTTCAAGTCCACATGAGGTATTTGCCAAGACAGACCATGTTCTAGGCCACGAAACAAATCTTAATGAATTCAAAAGGATTGAAGTCCTACAAATATATATATATATATATTTTGGAAACCATGGAATGAAATTATGTAGCAATAACAGAAAGATGTCTGGAAAATCCCCAACTACTAGATAACTGAATAATATACTTGTAGACAACTCATGGGTGAAAGAAGAAATGAAAAGGATAATTAGAAAATATTTTGAATGGAATGAAAATGAAAGCCCAACAAATAATTTATGGCATTCTGCTAAAGCAGTAGTTTGGGGGTAATTTTTAAGCACTAAGCAGCTCTATTAGATCAGCAGAAAGCTTTCAATGACTTAGGCTTTCACTTCAGTAAAATGAAGAAGAGCAGATAAAGCGAAGTTTCAGAAGAAAAACAAGATCAAGGTGAAAATCATTGAAATAGAAAAAGAAAAATTAACAAAACCAAATTCTTGTATGCTAATGTTCATTGCAGCATTATTCATAATAGTCAAAAATTAGAATAGAGAGAAATGTCCATCAATAGATGAATGGCAGCTGCAAAAGTCAAATGCATGGAGGCCCAAAGCAGATTAAAGATTGGTTTCCAGGGGCAAGGTGGAGTCAGTGTTTAACAGGTATAGAATTTGGGGAGATGAAAAGGTTTTAGAAGTAGACAGTGGTGATGGTTCCACAATATTGTGGATGTATTTAATGCCACTGAATGATACAATTAAAAAAAAGGTTAGCCCTGGCTGGTGTAGCTCAGTGGATTGAGCTCCAGCCTGTGAACCATAGGGTCACAGGGTGATTCCCAGTCAGTGCACATGCTTGGGTTGTGGGCCGGGTCCCCAGTAGGGGGCGCTCAAGAGGCAACCACACATTGATGTTTCTCTCCCTCTCTTTCTCCCTCCCTTCCCCTAAATAAATAAATAAATAAATAAATAAATAAATAAATAAATTTTTAAAAAAGTTAAAATGGCAAACTCTGTTATATGTATTTACCATAGTTTTGAAAAATAATAAGATACAAAAGCCATTGAATTGTACAACTTAAGTGGGGAATTGTGTAGTATGTGGATTTATATCTCAATTAAGCTGTTCTTGAAAGTGCATGGTGTATGATTCCATTTATATAAAACTCTAGAAAGTGCAAACTAATATATGGTGACAAAGAGCAACCCCAAATCGCTTATTTACCACATTTTCTTTGATCGCTTCCATCTTTCTTAACACTTTCTCAGTTCCCTAACTGGCTCTTTATGTTATGGTCCTGAGGAAAAACAGGGGTCTGGGGAAGAAGGGGTGGCCTCACTTTGCCAAAGGAAAGGTGAGGCCGGGGGAACTCTCTGAACCCAGGACCTGGTGGTCCTGGGGTCAGGAATGTAAGCAATGCTTGATTACCCAGAGGCGTGGTTTAGGATGCTGTGACGCCAGAAAAAGAGGCTGGTCCCCGGACTGCACTTCCCAGGAGGTCTCCGGGCTCGCAGAGAGGAGACTGCGTCCGACGACGGGGTGGGACTCGGGTCGCTGCCCGGATGTGGAGTTGAGCCCGCCGCTGCAGCGGATCCCAGTGAAAGACGCCGGGAGGCTCTACCGGCAGCAGTTGAACTGCGCGGGACCACGAGCACTTTGCAGGGTATGTGACCCCTTACGCCAGGCAGTGCCCACATTCCCTCTTTTGCCGAGTCTCCCCATCCCTGGGACCTTAGTCGCTGAGCCGGTTCTTGGGTGGAAGGGATCTGAGGGTGGCATGAGCTGTATGTGTAGCGGGGGAGAGTGAGCCAGCTCCGCGAATCCGATGTGGGGCACCTTTCTGCCCCTGGCTCAAGAGTCCCGCTGGAGTCACAGAAGAACTCAGCACTCTTGGTGGAGGAGAGTGTGAGGGACGTGCCCAGCGGGATCGTTGTGGCTATTGATGGATCGCTGAGATTGCTTCTGTGCTGAAGTTGCCAGACACAGGATAGTCCCCTTGGCTCCCGGTTCGGGAGTATTCACCCTGCTTCCTTCGCCTCCAGTCATCTGAAGTCTTCCTTGACTGCACCTGAACCACAGAAATTAGTCTTCAATGTGAGAACCATCCCCTCCCCCCGCCAATTTAGTGGATAACTAAGTTGCAGAAAGTACTAAATAAAACTAGGGATCTTCTGCTGAATTGCTTTGGTTTCAGGGAGGGTGATTTAAGTGGATTAGACTGAGACTTGCTGCAAGGGTGAGACTTGGAGAATGACGGAGAAACAGTAGTCATTTGAGCTGCGTTCTTGTTCTCACTGTTATTGAATCTTTTATTATATTGTGTTCAACTTAGGAGAAAAGTAACTTCTGTGCAGGCTGTACAAGTGAAGAAAGGATGCTTTGTCACATGAGATAGGAACGTTTAGAAGAAGCTATGATTCCAAGGTTAATAGTAAATGACTAACAAGGAACGGAGCCTTCTGGTGTGCTGGTGTTGGCAGCTCCATGCGTCTCCCAGTTTCTAATCCTAGACGCACTTTGAAGATCTCTAAGCTGCTCCGATGTCTACTTAGGGCTACTGTGAAGTTAAAAACTAGAAAAGATGGGTACAAGTACCATACACCAGCGGTCCCCAAACTTTTTGGCACCCTGGACCTGTCTCGTGGAAGATGTTGAGGGGGGTGGAGGGAGAGGGGTGCGAGGATAGGAGGCGAAGCTCGGGTGACCTTCGCTGGCTCCACCGTGGAATGGGGGGGTCCGGAGGAGGAGCTCAAGTGAGCTTCACTCCCCCAGCTGTGGCTGGGGGAAGAGGGGAACAGGAGGCGGAGCTCAGGTGAGCTTCGCCAGCTCCTCCGGAATGGGAAGGGGGGGCTGGAGGCGGGGCTCAAGTGAGCTTCGCTGGCTCCACTGTGGAATGGGGGGGTCCGGAGGCGGAGCTTAAGCGAGCTTCACTGCCCCGGCTCTGGATGTCGGGGAGGAGCGAACCGCGGGCGGAGCTCAGGTGAGCTTGGCACCTGCACCGGCGGTACACAGGGGAGGCGGGGCGGGGGGGGGAGGCAGGAGGCGTAACTCCAGTGAGCTTTGCTTACCGCCTGGTTCCTAACTGGCCGCGGCGGCGGTCTGCGGCCCGGGGATTGGGGACCCCTGCTGCACACAATTCCTATAGAATGCTCTCAGTGTTTAGTTTCCCTTTACTTCCCTATAGCAACTTCCTCCCCCCATGAGCCATACATTACTGTGCACTATTACTTGCCTCCTGCCTTCACCACAAGACGTTAAGCTTCTAGCATTCTTTTTCTTTGTACCCCCTTTCTTTTGAGTCCCTCCTAGCAGTTCATTGCCCATAGTAGTAGTGCTTGGAACAGCGTGGATAGTGGTGGTGATGGGGAGGGGACAGCATTGTGCTGGGTGCTGGAACTTAAGTTAACAAGCCTTTCTCAAATAGATGACAAACAGGGTATTGGCCTTTCTCTTCTAACTCCCAAGCCTTTAAAAGAATATCATTTTACTTTTAATATTTTAACCATTTTAACGTGTACCATACAGTAGTGTTAACTATATTCACGTTGTTTGCAACAAATCTAGAATTCTTTCATCTTGCAAAACTGAAATTCTAGCCCTGCCTGGTGTGGCTCAGTGGATTGAGTCCCGGCCTGCCAACCAAAGGGTTTCGGGTTTGCGGTTCTATTCTCGGTGGGGGCACATTCCAGGGGCACATTCCGGGGTTGAGGGGTGTGCGGGAGGCAGCCGATAAATGTGTCTCGTGCTCAATAATGTTTCTCTCTTTCTCCCGGCCTTCTCCTCTCTCTCTGAAAATACATAAAAATATTTTAAAAACCTGAAACCCTGTACCCATTAAACAACTCCCCACATTTCTCCCTTCCGCAGTCCCTGACCACCGTCATTCATTCTACTCGTTTCAGTAAGTTTCACTCTTCTGGATAGCTCACATAATTGGAATCATGCAGTATTTGGCTTTTTTGTAACTGGTTTATTTCACTTAGCATCAAGTCCTCACGATTCATCCATGTTGAAGCATATAAAATCCGTTTTATTTTTTTTTAAAGATTTTATTTATTTACTTTATAGAGAGAGAGGGAGGGAGGGAGAGAAACGGTGCGCAAGAGGGATGAATATCAGTTGTCTCTTGCACGCCCTCTTCTGGTAGCCTGGCGCTCAACACAGAAGTGGCGACCTTTTGGTTCTCAAGCCAGGCACAATCTACTGAGGGCCCATCTTCTTTCTATAAATATATATATATACTATATATGTGTATATATAGTATATAATATATAAGTACATAAATATATTTGTAAATAGATATATTTATGTGCCACATTTTCTTTATCCATTCATCTACCAATAGACATTTAGGGTGACATTTAGGTTGCTTCCACTTTTCCACTTCTTGGCTATATTAATGAAGCAATGAACATGAGTGTGCAAATAGGTCTTAAAGATCCTGTTTTCAATTGTTTTGGACATATTTTTACTTTTGAAATTTTGCTTATTTTTAGAGAGAGGGAGAAAAACATCATTGTGAGAGAGAAACAATGACCTGTAGCCTCTTGCACGCCCCCAACCAGGGATGAAACCCACAACTGAGGCACGTTCCCTGATCGGGATGAACTTGTGGCCCTTCACTTTGTGGAATGATGCCCAACCCACTGAGTCACACTGGTCAGGGCTTGATATATTTTTAGTATTATTATGAGACTTTTTAACTATGGGGAATTTTAAACATACACAAGCAGATAAAATAGTGTAATGAACATGTGGGCTGAATAAATGGGTCAGTTGTACAAAACAGCCTTCTAAAGTACCTGGGACTTGCGCTGATCCTCCCCTCCCCCTGTCCGCCTTTCACAGACAGTGTGTTACACGTGAGCATATTTGCAGTTTTGCTTCAGACCTCAGGTGTTCTAGCTGCACTTCATCATCTAGGCCCACAGTCATCAGTGTGACCGGAGTGCCCAGATGCAGACCATATATTCTAGGAGTATTTGGGTTGTATTTGGGAGTATTTGGAGATAATAAATGAGTAGAAGTGAGTGTAGGTGCCTTTTCCTACTTATAGAGAAGAAGACCTGAGTTTGCAGTGCAAAGTGGTCTTTGTGCCCAAGAATTTCGCTCTGGTACAGCAACCCCCTGAGATGCAATACTGTCCTGAAAGCGGTCACTTGGAGCAGAGATGTTTGACATTAGATGAGACCTAAAGGAGGCTGGGAAGATGAGAAATAAAAGCAGTGATTGCTACAGAATTCAGAGGACAAAGAAATGCATCTAGACTGGGAAAGTTAAGGAATGTGGTAGTGACTTTGCCGTTTCTAGTGACCTTGTGTGTTTGATCCTTAAGCCTGTTCCTAAGTAGAAAAAGGTAGAGCTGATGGTTAGTGAATACCCTGGGATGGTTGCCTGCTAGTCTTGAGTTACCCTCTGGACTTGTAGCTGTGGGACCTGTACTACCAAAGGCTTCTAGGTGAAAAGCTTCCCAGTTTGGAACTGGCTGTGGGAAGATAGCTACCCCTAGTGGGCCTGTGCGAAGTATCCTCAGAAGGCCAATTTTACTGAGACCCAAATGAGTGTTGTTTTGGTTTTGCCTATGATATGGGCTAAATAGAGACCTTTACTAATAAAACAGCAGGGTAGGGGATGTGTCTATTCTCTCAAATTCCCAAGGTGAGAAGCTAATTATCAATTTTTTTTCTATAATCAAATACATATGACAATGTATCCCCTTTTCTCCACGTTCTGACACTTGAGGTGAATGCTATAAGGACTGGGTCTGAAATGAGGGCAGTAGTTAAGAAACTAAAGAAATCGGAGTGGTCTGGGGCACTGACAAGGTAGGGCATTACCAGGGTGTTGATGTGGGTGTTTGAACACGGGAACTCATAGTAAACATGTTTCTTGGAGATCATCCCTGCTGGGGTCCCCAACCCCCAGCCCGCAGACCTGTATCCGCCGGGCAGGAGGTGAGCAGTGGGCTGGTAACTTGTTCCATTACCGCCTGAGCCTCCTCTCCTGTGCTCCTGCCTCCCCGCCCCGCCCTGGCCCAGGAAAAATCGAAACCAGTCCCTTGTTGGGGACCACATGCCATGCCATGCCATTAACTGCCAAGTACTTCATGCATGAAGAAATGGACAAAGAGTATGGTGCTCTTGTGACCTGTAGTTTTACTTGGAGAAGATGGGAAGGGATGAGACCCCTGGCTTGTCTAGCGTTGTAATCACATCAGCGAACTTTTGCCTTCTGGGGCAGAATAGTAGAAGAATAATATACAAAGTTTTAGCAGCTTCTGAAACCTAGTAAGTACTTCATACGTGGCAGACTCTAATAATGACTGTACCCGCATTCTTTCATTTAAGCCTCAGGTTAGAAATTTGCCCAAATTCCCAAGGCTTTAGGAAAAGAGAGGACAGGTTTTTGAATCCAGAGGTTTGACCTCAGAGCTTCGAATCTTTTTAAGAAAATTGTATTTACCTTTAGCAAGAAGGGAAGGGAGGGAGACAAATATCCATGGGTGAGTGATGGGGTGCCTCTCGCACACCCCCTACTGGAGACCCAAGCGTGTGCCCTGACTGGGAGTCAACCAGTGACCTTCCTGTGTATAGGCTGGTACTCAGTTCACTGAGCCACACCAGCCAGGGCATCAGAGCTTGAACTCGTAATCACTTACCTACATGGCTGATTCTGACTGGCCTACCTTTCACTTCTGTAGTAAGTGTCGCTGTTTTTCAGGAACAGGGAGGTTCCTTTGCTGGGTCTATAGCCACAGACCCAAAGTGAGAGCCTTGTTTCTTTCGTTTCAACTTCGGGAACTATCTTTCTATACTTTTAAAAAAACGAGTTACCATTTACTGAGCACCTAGTATATTTTAGCACCTTTGCATATTTTAGCACTTTAGCATATTTTCAGACCTTATGACAACAATGGAGCATAAATACCGAGGTATATGAATGGTATTTCATCTTTTGGGGGCTCACAGCCCTTTTCGAGACTCTAATAACAGCTTTGGATCTTCTTTCCAGAAAAATTCACTTACGCGCATACATATAGGATCGCACACAACTTCAGAGGCGGCTTTTAGGACCCACTGAAGCCTGTCCTTTAGCAGTCCATGGTAAGAACTCTGGCCCTGTACCACCTTCCCCAGCTGGTTCTTCTGTAGTGTGAAAGGGATGGGTCGTGGGTGGGGGTTCACCTCCTCTCTTTGTCCTCAGAGAGAAATGTTTATGAAGGTTGGGCTCCCTTCATTAACGAAGCACCTGGGAACACTCTTCATTTCTCTCTTACACGTAGGACTCCAAGGGAAGAATGCAGACGATCAAATGTGTGGTTGTAGGAGATGGGGCCGTGGGTAAGACCTGCCTCCTCATCAGTTACACAACAAAGTCCTTTCCTGAAGAGTATATCCCCACTGTCTTTGACAACTATAGCGCGCAGACAACTGTGGATGGCCAACTTGTCAGCCTGAACCTATGGGACACGGCTGGTCAAGAAGAATACGACCGACTGAGAACGCTCTCCTACCCCCAGACCAATATCTTCGTCATCTGCTTTTCCATCAGCAGCCCATCCTCTTATGACAATGTGAGGCATAAGTGGTACCCAGAGGTCACCCATCATTGCCCCAATGTACCCGTTCTGCTGGTAGGCACCAAGAGTGACTTGCGGACTGACCTTGAGACAGTGAAGAAGCTGAAGGAGCAGAGCCTAGTGCCCACGACTCCTCAGCAAGGCATTATCCTGGCCAAGCAGGTGGGGGCTGTGAAGTATCTGGAATGTTCTGCCCTGCTGCAGGATGGGGTACAGGAGGTATTTTTGGAAGCTATCCGCGCTGTGCTTCACCCTGCCACAAAGAAGAACACCAAGAAATGTGTCCTCTTATAGCTCTCGGGGCGGCACGTAGGAACTGCCTCAAAGGAGAAGAAGGGGGTGGGATTCCTTTGACAGGATTTAGTAAATGCCAACGGAGCCATTTGACTCTTTTGGAAACCCTGGGCTCTAGGTTACTGGGCTTCTGGAGGAATGAAGACAGATAGGCTAGTCTGTATATGGCTGCTTTGCGGGTTTGGTTTGAACCTTTTGGAGGGTGTGTGTGTGTGTGTGTGTGTGTGTGTGTGTGTGTGTGATCAAAACAGTAAGAGGAGCCCTGGCTGGGGTGGCTCAGTGGATTGAGCACAGGCCTGTGAAGCAAAGGGTTGCTGGTTCGATTCCCAGTTAGGGCACATGCCTGGGTTGCGGGCCAGGTCCCCAGTGGGGGCCACGTGGGAGGCGGCCACACATTGATGTTTCTCTCCTACTCTTTCTCCTTCCTTTCCCCTCTCTCTAAAAATAAATAAATAAAATATTTAAAAAAAAAACAGTAAGAGGAGACACCACAATGCGCTGTTCCTTCTTGTCCTGGCCAGGCCGCAACTAAGCAGAGCAGCCTTGTACTGTTCTTTGTAGACTTTTGCCTGTCTGCTTTTAAGTCAAATTTGAGCTTTTCTTCCTGTAGTTACCATTGAGAAAGTGCCTCACAGCAGGAAGACAAGGCTTGCCGGTTTTCGAATCATTGCCTTAAACTTTCTAATACACTAATTTTTTTTAATCCACTGTTTTAAAAAGAAGTTTATGCGTGATTCCTGGGTGTTCCCAGTGTTGACATGTCCTTCTCGTTCTTGAGCTAAGACATTTTGGCAACACTGGTTAAGTAGAATTTTCCAAAGTTCTGTGAGATGGGAATAGATTTTCTTTAAAAGGTTCTGTGGTCTAATAAGCCAGGAACCAGCTATTTAAATAAAAGCTCAAGAGGTTCCTCTACTGTAGGAATTTATAATTTTTAATAAGTATGCAACATTCCGGAAGCTTTCATTTGGTCCTATGCAATACCTATTATCATCTTTGGAAACACAGTTTCCAAGATGCTGGGTTGATAGAATCTAGGAATTCCCATGCAGGAGGCTATGGGGGAAAAAAAAAAGCATAATGTGGCTTCCTTCATGCCTTTGAAAGAAATGGCAGTCACGAACTTTTACTGTCATTCCTCTTGAGTTACTATAAAGGCTACTATGCCCTTTTCCTCTTCCTCCTCTGTATACCTTGGGTGTGTATGTGTGGGTGTGTTCATTTGTTCGTTCAGCCCTGTGTGCCTTTTGAAGTCTTTTAGTTGTTCCAAAAGAGTTGGAGTATGTTGGATCTCCAGGTCGTGGGCTGGAGTATGCTCAGCCTGTCCCGGGGCAGTGAGTCAGATTCTTCATCCCAGTAGGCCTGCTTCTCCATGGTTGTAAGATTTCTGACCTTTATTTGACTATGGAAGAAAAACTTCTCCACCTGGCGGATAGCAGTTGACAGCTCTACCACGTCCATACCCTCTCATCCTGCCAAAATAGCATTGGATTTTTGAGCCTTTGGCAGGTAAAAGGATGGCATACAGCACTACCTTCCCCTGTGGTGGGTGAAGTGTCTGTGCTTTGCTTTGTGACAGTCTTGCTGTGGCTCTTTGATTAGATGTGAGAAGACTTGCCTCAGGCTAACCAAACCTCCTGAATAGGGCTGCCAGAAAAAACAGTAATATTTTACACGACAAAAGGAGACTAGACTGAGCAGTGAGCACACAGAGGAGTATGCAGATGTTGTGCACCTGAAACTTACATGTTATTAACCCATATTACTCCAATGGATTTAATTAAAATTAAAGACAAAATATTTTTTTACAAATAACTTTTTAGTACAAGCAATGTACCATGCAATATTTGGGACATACACCAAAACATTATTTGCTGTTCATCTGAAATTCAAATTTAATGTCAGCATCCTATGCTTTTAATTGGCTAATTGGCTTAATCTGGCAACCCTCCTCTTGGGGAATCTGGAACCGGGAGGTCAAGGAGAAATCAAGTATTGACAGAAGATAAAAAGCTTATGTCAACTCTATTCTTACTACTTTTTTTCTGGCTTCCCCTTTCCCTAACCTGGGACTACGGTGTTTAGTTTTGTTTTCCCTTCATCACTGTTTCCTCCATGTCATACACTACTTCGTTGCCATTTATTTCTACACCAGTTGCCTAAAGCTGTGGAGGATTCAGGGTGGATAGTATTGTCTGACTTGTGCCTTCTATCTCAATTTCAGGGTACTGTATTTATTTCCCACCGTGTGTTCCAGGGCTTCCTGTGGTGGTGGTGGGGAATGGCGGAGATTTTTTATAAGCAGTGTGTCAGCTGGAAGAGAGTGAGTGTGGCCCTTCTCAATGAAGGCCCAGGAGCGCTTTGGAAAGTGAGGTTGCTGTACAGTGAGGTACGGTGAAGTGAGGTTGCTGTACAGTGAGGTACGGTGAAGTGAGGTTGCTGTACAGTGAGGTACGGTGAAGTGAGGTTGCTGTACAGGGAAGTACGGTGAAGTGAGTGAGGTTGCTGTACAGTGAGGTACAGTAACTGTAGGGGTCAACTCACCTGTGTGCATGAGGTGTCCTTTGCCATTGTGTAGAGTTCCCTGAGTTTTCCCAGAGGCAGTCAAATGAAAGTCCTTATTGCTCAAGTATATTCCAGTCTCAGGGTGTTCTGATTGCTGCTGGAGTGCACACAGGGCTTCACGGTTGAAGGGTTAGAAACACCTATGTCTCTGGGAGCTTTCTGTTTAGCTACTGAAGTGTTTTAAATTGGCCTTTAGCCCTCACTGGGTTGAGCGCTAGCCTGTGAATCAAAGGGTTGCTAGTTCGATTCCCACTCAGTGTACATGGCTGGGTGGTGGGCCAGGTCCCTGGTTGGGGGTGTGCAAGAGGCAATCTATTGATGTTTCTCTCAAATATCAATGTTTTTCTACCCCTTCCACCTCTTTCTAGAAATGAATAAATAAAATCTTTAAAAAAATAAAATGGCTTTTAATTTAATAGTGCCTCCTGCTCTTCTTGTCTGGAAAATTCCCAAATGTAAGCATAGGTTTGGTTTGGGTAAACTTGTGTCCTCTAATAAACAGAGGTGTGATCCACAACTGTGAGACAGTGGTTTTGCTATTGGATTGATTTGATGATCCTAAGCATACACTGACATCTTGATTTTTATACTTAAAAGGAATTTGAATGAAGACGAACATACTTGTATCACTTTTAAATTATTCATGATGGATGGCAATAAGCTTTTCTGGTCTGTTGCTTTCTAAAAAAATAAAAATGCCTTCTCCCTCCCACTCCCCCATTTTGAGTTATTTCAAAATTCTTTTCAACTTGAAAAGGATAGGATAAATATAATTAGCCCTGACTGGTATGGCTCAGTGAATTAAGCGCTGGCCTGTGACCTAAGGGGTTGCCGGTTCCATTCCCAGTCAGGTCACATGCCTCTCCCCAGTAGGGGATGCGTGAGAGGCAACCACACATTGATCTTTTTTTATCCCTCCCTTCCCCTCTCTAAAAATTAATAAAATATTTTTAAAAATATGATGATTGTATTGCACATTGTACTTGTGTGTAACTGTACTTATTTTCCAAATCAGACAATCAGTGTATGGAATTGTCAGCCTTGCTAACATTGACTAGTTCCTGCCCCACGCCCCACCTGTACTGCCCCACCTATTCCTCTTCAGGATTTACAGTAGCCTCATTTTCTGGTTTTCACTAATGACAGATCAGTTAGTTCCCTGTAGGGGATTTTTCTAATTTATTACACTATATTCAGTACACAATTATCATGCTCCTACTGTGTTAATAGGCATTATTGTACTAGGAGCCTCTCCCAGTTATGTCAGGAAAAGATCTGTTATAAAAATTAATCCTAGCTGGTAACTGTATATAGTTTTGGTGCACTGCTGAATGCACTAGTAAGGAAGAGCAAAACAATGTTTTGTTTTGTAAGTAGCTTTATTGAGGTATAATTTACATACCATAAAATTCACCATTCAAGATGACAATTTAATGATTTCACCATTCAAGATGACAATTTAATGATTTTAGTAAATTTGGAGTCAGGCAACCATCACTCAACATCTACTCTTAGAACCTTTCCATCACCCCGGAGAGTTCCCTCATGCAGTTAATCCCTGCTTCTATCTGTAGCCCTTGGCAACCATTCATTTACTTTTTTTTTTTTCCTAAACATTTCAGATAAATAGAATCAAACAATATGAGGCTGGTTGGAACTTACTTCATTTAGCATAGTTTCAAGGTTCATCCTTTTTATAGCACATATGGCCACTTCATTTCTCTCTATTGCTGAATAGTATTCCACTATACAGATGTACCATATTTTATCTATTCCTAGTTGAGGAACATAAGATTGGGGTTGTTTTTTGTTTTTTGTTTTTTGTTTTTTTTGGCTATGCTGCTGGGAACCTTTGTGTACAAGGTTTTGTGTGGACATGTTTTTCATTCTTTTGGGTGTTTTTTGATTCCACGTATGAATGGAATAACTAGGTCATATGGCAAATTTACGTAAAACTACATTTTGAGCCAAGAGTGGCATCTTTAATATTTATAGTATTGAAGTCTCTTTCCACATTCTACAAGCCTCCATCTACCTCATATTTGCTTTTCCTCAAGCACAAGCATCCAAGAGGCATTATAAGGTACATTAAAAAACATTCCATCTTGCTTTTTTGTCTTAAATAGTATAGCAAGAGTATTCTAACTTTTCTTTACCAAACTGCATAGTATCAGCTACCATGCAGGTTTTGGCAGACCTGTATCATCTGGCCTAGAAATGTAACTACTGTTAAAACAGTTCATGGGTCCTGGCTGCTGTGGCTCAGTGGGCTGAGCACTGGCCTGTGAACCAAAGGGTCGCTGGTTTGATTCCCAGTCAGGGCACATGCCTGGGTTGTGGGCCAGGTCTGTGGTTGGGGGAGTTGGGGACATGCAAAAGGCAACCCATTGATGTTTCTATCCCTCTCTCTTTGTCTAAAAATAAATGTAAAAAACCTTAAAAAATATCCAGGGGTGTCCAGCTGACGGCCCAAGGGCTGCCTGTGGCCCAGGATGGCTATGAGTGCAGCCCAACACGAAATTGTAAATTTACTTTAAAGCTTTTTTTTTGCTCATCAGTTAGGTTTGTGATTTAATGTGTGACCCAGGATAATTCTTCTTCTAGTGTGGCCCAGACATGCCAGAAAGTTGGACACCCTGATAGACTTA